AACATTTAATATTTGGGTAAGAACTTCGTTGAGTTGTTATATTTGTGAGGAATAATATACTAAAACCAAATATTTTGTTTAGCTTGCTATATATAGGGTTGTTATATGATCCTTCGAAACTAGATTTGCTAGGAATTCTCGAACTAAGATGAATCCAGGTTAACCCCTAACTAATATTTTGTTCATTCATATATTTAATCTTATGAATTGTTCTTGCCCTTACAATGCTTTTTGTATTTTAATCCAGTTGAATGGTGGGAGATATATGGCAGTGATGCATCTCACCTAAAGAGGATAGCAATCAATGTGCTCTCTCAGATGTATTTTGTTACTGGGTATGAACGAAACTGGAGTACGTTCCAATAGTTGCACACTACTAGGATGAATCGACTCGATTCAGAGAGGCTTCATAAACTAGTCTACGTTCATTACAACTTAAATCTTTTATAGCGACAAATAAGAATGAAGCTTGAATACTACGGGCCGATAGACTTGGATACAATATTTGTCACAAACGCAACAGAACAATAGGTATTAGAGGAAGAGGAGCCAGTGTTGAGCAAGAGAGCGTTCCCTGAGGCTATTGGTGAGGAAGATCTTGAAGAAGGTGATAAGCAGCATGAAAGAGGAAGCAACCCACCAATATATCCACAATTCATCGAAGATGTCGGTGATATTACACCTAATAAGGGAGAGTAGGAAATGAGGGAGAATAGGAAGGGGGTCTAAGGGAAAATGAGAGAGATGATGATTCTAAGGCCACCCAATCCCAACCAAATTATTCACATATTGAGTCCTAACAGCAAGAGGGTATGAACGAGCACGACAGTGTAGGTGAGCATGAAGAATGGACAAACTTTGGGGATTTTGGATTAGGAGCACAACGAAACACTGACACTCAGAGATTTGGGTATAGTCAGGTGCATACTAATTTGGATGATTCATTTTTAGATCGAGTCAATGAATTGTCACGTGAATTCAATCAATGGCACCAGTGTGACCAAGATGAAGAATGACGCTGTCTGTCATTTTATTTTTAGGTCGTACGTTACGAATACTTAATCCATAATCATTATATGATTATCCTTTTGTGTGATGTAAATTAAATGGTAAACAGTAATTCATGCAGAGAAAGAACATATCAATATTCATATATTCATGCAAAAAAATGAAAATTCTTAATGGAGTACCCCCATTTCTTATTGGATTCCTAAAAGACAACATTTATAATGAATTTTAATAATTTTTTCGGATTTTTTTTAAGGCTTAATCCAACTGATTCGGCCGATTCCCGATCTGGATCGCCGATTCACCGATCCGAATGGGTTTTTGAGGTGCTCAATCCGGGTTACCGATTCATTTTTTAAACCACTGGTTGTAAGTAACCCTGACCTCCTTATACCAAATTAAATAGTCTCATTGTATACTATTCTTTCAACTTTATATACTCTTTCCAAATATTAACATATAATTTTGACAATTTTGGCCTTTTTTGCACGCTGATTTGACAAGAAATGATGCTCCATGTAATTTTGGCTACACATTAATCTTGGATTTATGTGTGTTGTAGGTAGAAATATTAAATAAAAAATATTTAAAGAAAAGAGATTGACGATATTATTTAGATGTATATTCAAAAAATATTATTTGGATGAACTTATGGGATGTTAAGTTGTACTTAAGATTTTTTTGTTCAACAAATTGAGTTATGCATACCATTTTTGTAGCGTAAGAGTGAAATTTGTCATCTTGTGTATGTAGTCATACACCACGTGTGGTTTCTACCTTAAATGAAAAATAAGCAAAAATTTTAAGTATTATAAAAACCTAGAAATTGCTCGTAAACAATTTTTTGAAGATGAGATTTTAATGAAATGATAGCATTTAATTTTGAAAAAAGTTTATACAAGTACGAGGCTCTAAACAAGCAAATTAGAGGCCCTCTTCAAAAATTTCACTAGACGAGGTTGTTTTGGTGCTCAAATATCCTAAAATTAATAATCTTGACCTCAAGATGCATGGTCATGAGAAAACATGGATTTCAAGTTTTGAAAATAATGCATCTTTTAATATATTTTTGGACCGTCAATTTTCAAGATTTTCAAGTTTTCATAGGTTTGCTCAATCTAAATTATCTTTCATAGGTCTGCTCGATCTACATTATTTTTCAAGCTTTAGGTTTTATAATTAGAGATGAAAATATATTTTAAGGGTATCACAAGGATTTCCATTATTGAAACCACATTTCTCGACACTATTTGAAGGTATGTTTTACTTTGATTGTTTAGAACCTCAGCCCTATACAAACCACACCCTTTAATTTTTTTATAGTTCTTTATAGTAGATTAATTTTTCAGTAAAATTTTTAAGACATGTATTCCATTTTTGTATTAATACGTAATATTGTCATGGAAGTTCATTGTAAATTTTTTTTAGAAATGTAAAAATTCATTAAAAAAAGTCATTAAAAGTTCAAATTTTTTTAGAAACCTAGATAAGCTATAAATGTAATTGCAAAGCATAGAACAATGGGAATTAAAAGCACATGAAGTTTTAAATTGGTATTATATTATTGTAGCAAAGATAACATAATTTATTCTAAAATTTTAAAAATTCATGATGCATTGTTTTATTAAAAATTGTAAAAATTATTTATAAGTAAAATTACCATAAGCTTTCAAAATTTTTAATTTATTTAATTAATTGAAAAAAGTGAAAATAAAGGCATTCAGATTGTGAAATTGCATTTCTTTTGTGTAATTCTTTCCTTTTTTTGAACCATACATGTATACATATATAGGATATTCTCCAACAAGATTAATGCAGAAAAATAGAGATTCTTCACATGGTATAGGAGCGAGTTTTTAAATGAAGATAATAGAGATCACCAACTTTATGCCCAATCCCAATTAGTTTCCCCGACTGTCGATGCTACACATGGCATCCAAAGGGAGTGAAAACAACATTACAATTGGAGCGGGTAATCTGACCAAAAAAAATAAAATTTATGGCATTGGAGGGAATATGATAAACATCAAAAACATTTAATTTACCACAGAAACATTGAATGAGCCACATGAGGAAACTGTTACACAACATGAGTCCCAACATGCCATGGTAGAAGAATTGACCGCCCTTGATATGATGCATGCTTGGGATGTTGTCCCTCTTCCTAAAGATAAAAGTGTAATTGGTTACCGGTGGGTGTACAAAATCCAAACTAAAGTTGATGGCAGTATCTAGCGCTATAAGATACAACTTGTGGTTAAAGGTTATAATTAATAATTTGGGATTGATTTTGCTGAAACCTTTGCTCATGTTGCTCACATGACTATCGTTCGTACTCTGATTTCTGTGGATGTTGTTCGTCAATGGCCGTTATATCAACTCGATGTCAAAAATGCATTTCTTAATAGCAATATTGTATAAGAAGTTTATATGAAGTTGCCTCCTGGGTTTCAGATCCTGACAATAGAGTCTGTCGACTACAACGCACGCTCTATGGGCTTAAACATGCTCCTCGTGTTTGGTTTGAAAAGTTTAGTTTTGTTGTTGTCTCCGCAGGTTTTCGAGAGAGCTATCATGATTCTGCCATGTTTGTCTCAGTCACACTTAGAAGACGTGCAAATTCTCCTACTCTATGTTGATGATATGATTATATTTTGTGATGATGAGACCACCATTCATCTGATCAAGCAAAAACTTAGTCAACTCTTCGAGATGAAAGATTTGAGATTATTAAAATATTTTTTGGGCCACGAGGTTACTTATTCGTCTTGTAGGTATTTGCTTTCTCAACTTAAGTATGCCTCAGTTATTGTTTCTTGAGCTCATTTAGCTGATGATACAAATAAAGTTCATATATCTACTGAGTAGAATGTCGAGCTTCATTCTATAGATGGTGAGCTCCTTCCCGATCCTACATTTTACACACAGCTTGGAAGAAGCTTGCTTTTTCTGATCATCTCTCGGCCGAATATTGCTTACATTGTTCATCTTGTCGAACAATTCTTGAGTGCCCATCGCTCTGCATACTTGGCAGCCTTTTTACGTATTATTCATTATATTCGACACACTTGCTTAGGCTTTGTTGTTCTCTTTATCTTCCACTCTTGAGCTTCATGCTTTCATTGATTATGATTTTGTGAGGCCTACTACCGATCGGAAGTCTACTATATATTTGTGTATTTTTCTTGGTGACTCCCTTATTTCTTGGAAGAGCAAGCAGCAAAAACATATTGCTTAGTCCACAGCTGAAGCTGAGTATCGAGTCATAGCTCAAACAATGGTGGAAATAGTATGAGTTTGCTGGTTATTTGCTGACTTGAGTGTGGAACCTTATGCTTCTACTCCCTTATATAGTGATAACAAAAATGCCATTTATATTGTTAAAAATCAAGAATTTCATGAGCGCATCAAGCATATTGAAGTAAATTGTCATTTTTGTTGACATGAATATTTAGCTGGGATAATCTCTATGTACTTGCTAAGTCCCACAATACTCCTCGTTTTTCATGTCTTATTTCCAAACTCTCAATGGTGTACTTATGACTATCACTAGTTTTAAGGGGATTATGAAATTGTATTTTTTTTCTTTTTTGAACCACCATTGTATACATATATGGGATTTTCTCCAACAAGATTAATACAGAAAAATAGAGATTCTTCACACAGGAACCTGCTATTTCAGAAAAATCAAAATAATTTTTGTAAATCTTTTAAGAATTCAGGAAATTTAAAATTTATTCATGACCTATTTTCAAAGCGTAAAAATTTGTTGAAGATAATTTAAATTTTTACACTTTAAAATTCCTTGATAAATAGAACAATGAGTTATCATTGAAGTTTGCAAGCATTCAAAAATCAAAATTCTAAAAAAGAAAATAATCTAGAACCATAATTCTATTTTGCAAATTAGATTTAGAAAAAAAAAAAAGAATATTAGAAAGGAAACATAATGGACTTTTTTTTTAATGTGCTCCCTCGCCATACCAAACGCGCTCATAACTTAACCTTTAGAACCGACCTTAGGAGGCACTGCCTGCTTTTCTCTCTGCAGCTCTTTCATGGAAATTCGATGTATTTTCCTCCTATTAATTTAGTTACTTGTTTCCATTAACATTATTGGCAATACTTTATGCACCCACGATTCCGATCATGGGTCGAGGGCAATGCACCCTGTGACTGTTAAATTCGTTGAGTAACTTTTGGTTTTCCTCCTGATTTTCTTTCTCTAGGGATTATGCCTAAAAGCTACCTCTTTATTTTCTTGTTTTTCTCTCTCTCTATAGATAATTCAAAATTAATTTAGAACTCGAGTGTCTCTGCTGATTTCTTTCTTCAATTGTGTTTACAAAGGGTATTCCTGGCTCTGCAATTTATAGTGTCTCCACTTTGGGATATGTTGCGAGAGCTTAATTAGCTGTTTCTTATGTTAATACGTATATGGCTTCCTCTATTACCAGTAGTAAACTCCTTCGCGGGGATTATTATTTTAGTTATTGGCTTACTATCGACGCTTCTTCGATGCCTTTTTTTCTTTTGTTAAATAGTTGTTTGCGATGCTTTCTGCATCTCTTTCTTCTCGATTAGAATCGTTATGAAACTTGAATCGTATGAGTTCATGGAGGAATTCAAAGTGCGGCGATATTAAGAGTCTATTGGATATTTAAACTTTAAAGGGAAGTTTTTAATGTGGGTACAATGTTAGCTGGATATTGCGTAACTGTTGAGGTTTGTGGTTATTGGTTCTGTTTTTGCTTGTCCAAGAGTGAGATGCTGGCTTCACACAGTTGCATTGTTTTTTTCTTTGCTAAGCATACCATACATCACTCGGAACCATTTCTTGATCTGCGCATTCCAACCTTGCGCAGGTGACATGCTAATCTTCAATGTATCACTCAAATTTTATCGGGACGTCTCTAAAGAGGCATTCCATAGGGTGTGTGACCTACATAGAATGGTGATAGTGGCCATAGGGTGTGTGACCTACATAGAATGGTGATAGCGGCCATAGGGTGTGTGAGCAACAGTTTCTAAGATCCTGAAATCTATGTTGTTATCAAAAAATAATTAGGTCGGGTTTTGTACCATAGCTTAGGGATATTTTGATTTCAACCTCGAACCTTGAGATTGCTTGTTAAAAAAATCACATTTACAATGTTATACACCCCTTAGAAAAGGGAAAAGAAAATGATATAAGAAGAGTAATTAGTTCACGGGTGCGTGTTGAGTTTAATGCTCATGGTATACAGATAGAAAGGATGCCAGATACTTTGCCAAGTTATCTGTAACAAAATGTGGAGCTTAACTATGGTAATCATGTTATATCTAAGTATTGAGTTCTGTTTCACTCAATATTGCAACCTGATTCTGATAACATTACCTGTTAATGATTTGGTTGATTGTTGTCTAGAAATTGATCTCTGGCTGTTTATCTATTCCATTTCATGCTATATTCCCTTTTCTCAAGCTAGTTGTATTGAACTATCAGTTCTATCCTCTTTTTCAATCATTAGTTGTGTTACATGGTTTGTTGACATCATTACTCCCTCTGGTTCATATGTTAAATAGATATTTAAGCACCTCTATATATTACCCTAAAAATATGGAGACATCTTTCACATAGAGAAAACTCCAAGTGGTTTCAAAAGCTTGTTTCTCTCTTCTTTGAATGATGAATTTTCTAATCTATGTATTTTTTAGTAGTTGGGGCTCCTGTTTTCTTACTCATATGGATACCAATTTATGCACACAAAAAGACCGCATGTATGTGCATTGTCACGTGTTCATGCACGTACTTATATGCATGTGTGTGTGTGTAAAACAATTGAGATTGGAAATTTAGAAGCAAATAGAAGGATCCTATGCAAGGGGAACTACTAGGTCGTAGTCTCTTGATTTGGGAGAATTTGCGTTAAATCTCTAATTTAATCAGTTTTTTCCGAGTTTATCATTGTGAATTTCAATTTGTTCGATTGCTTAAATGGATGGAAAACTTGTTTTCGTAGGTTACAAAATTTTCTTCAATCTTCTATATCTTCTTAGCATCTTGATGAAATTTGTGAATTTTCCATTGCAGGAATGGTGCCTCAGCATATGGGAAATCCTTCAATCTCTGCCAAGGAACTTTCATGTGCACATGTTATGTTGCATATTCCCAAGTTGCTATCCTTCATCTCCATTTTATTTTCTTAGTGTAACCCAAATATTTTTTTGAGAAAGAAAGTGCAACCCAAATAGTGAATACATAAGAATTTGAAAGTTTATGCTGCCGAGGTTCCATGGATAATTTCCATGGCCAGCTTCTCCCACCAGGTGTTGAAAGATTCCCCCCAGCTTCTTCAAACACAGCTTATCCAATGCCACCTTCTTCAAGTGCATGCCAGACTTCCAATAATGTTGAGCAGCAATACTTCTACTATCACGGTAATACTAATTTGTTTCCTGTTCCCCCATTTAGTGCAACTTGTCATAAAGCTCCAAACGACCAGTTTCATTCCAATTTTCCTTCATCAACTCCCTTTAATTTTTCCCAAACGCAACCACCCCCTTACGAGCCTAACCTTAGGCATAACTACCCCCAAATAATGATGGGCTTAAATCCCAGCATGCCAAATCAGGGGCCGCAAAGTTCTTCATATTTTTATGGTGTTCCACATGGGGCTGTAGCATCTGACGGCCAGTCTAATGGACGAAATGTTCATTCGCAAGAAGAAACTCCTCAGGGAGGTGTTCCCTCTCTTTTATCACAGTCAAGCATCAAAGACGAAACTCAACAACATATACCTAGGCAGGTACCTGCATCTGCAGAGTTGAGCATAAATAAGGAAATCCTATTGGAGGAGAAGAATGCTAATGTGGAGCCAGTTGGAAAAACAAACAAGTTCACTGGAAATAAAGAAGTGGATATTGATAGGGCTGCGCAAGATGCTGTGCTACACGAACAAGTATGGAGATTTTCTTTGACTTGGTTTTAGATGTTATATTTTGTTGGCTAAAACATGTATTTTGGTATGCAGGAGATTGCTACACAACAGATCATACAAAATCAGAGGTTAGTTTATCCTGTATGTTCTATATTCACCTTGACATTCTTTGAACGTGTAGTGCACTCCAATAAAGTAGCATTTATTTCACAATTTCTTTATCTAATTTTAGTGTATGATGAAGGCAAGCAAGGGATGCTGGACAAATGAAGGATGAAAAAGACATTCTCTCTGAACGCCATGATTCCAATGCTTTGAAGGTGGGTAGGGATATTTGGTTTATTTTTATGGCAATATTCTATTCTCATTTGATCTGTTTTGGGAAACTATCACTGACCAGGTATGTGAAGCCAATCTCCATTACTATTTCTGATGACATTGTGTTACTATTTTTCGAATTCTTACTTTCTTTGTACAGGAAGTTCTGATGAAGATGACTACTGATCATCGTGCAGAGATGGCATCCAAACGTGGAAAATTTGTTCAGCCTGATCAAGGTTGCCCCTTGTTTCTAGATATGATCATTTACGAGAACAAGCATAATAATGTGCATGGCTACAGTTTCTCCAAGAGTTTCATTAATCGTGGGTCTTAACGTGGTCTTGTCCTACTCATGTCATTTGTTGGAACAATTAAGTTGTTAACAGTTTCCTGACCCATTAATTTTAACTATTTTTTTTTATAGTCTAATGAAAAATATTTCTTTGTTGTTGGATACCCATTGTAACTTAAATTGACATTGTAGATGTGATCAGTGTGAAATCATCTTGATTTGTGTGCTCAACAATTCAATAATAATAATATCATGAATCCCTATTTAATTATCAAAGATAGAAAAAGGAAAAACCAGTGTACACTAGTTACTGTGGCAAGGAAAAAACTGAATTAAACCTTTTGTTACTTCATCAATTTGGCGCCCACTGGTGACTGCCCTTGCAGACATCATTTCAACAATAAAAAAGATGGTTTAATGAACTTAAGGACTCAATCAATAATGAAGGCAGAATTAAAAAAATTGAATTCAAGCATATCAATCATCGCCAACCATGACAAATCCCAAGAGTTCTAAGAGGAACAAACCTATAGAATACAGGGATCATCCATCTCACATGCATGAACCTCCTCTTTTATTTGCCAAATTCCATCCATGGGATCTGTAATGTGAGGATAAAGGACTGCCTGAGGGGCATGGATATTGATGTACAATGTCACAGGGGTACAAAAAGGAGCATCAATAACATAAATTGTCTAGAGTCACTCTTAGGTAATGATTATCTTGCTGCAATATACAGATGTTAATGTTTGTTAGACCAGTGAAATACTTGTTTTTAGACTAAATTGCAGGCATTACATTACGTTTATTTTTTAATATATCTGCTGTGGTATTACTTGTGTTAGATACCTTGAGTACAAACATCTAGTTTCTTTTTTGCATGCAGTTTCTACGCGTTTTTTTTTTCTTTTTTTCCCCCCTCTTCCCCCTGGGGGATCTTTATTGAAATGTCAAGTGCCAGTCCACTTGTTGAATATGAAGTAGATCTACTATACTTGTGCTACTAATTAAATAAGAAACCAGTGGTTTCTGTTGCTTAGCTCAAAATTTATGGATGTGCCTCTTGCATCTCATTTGTCTTTTGTGAAGACTAGGTTTCCTGAGTTTCTATTATTTTTTTAATGTAATTATTACTGGAAGTCTTCATTCTTGCAAATGAATAACCATGTGCTATTCTTCTAGGCAACGTGGAAATCGGGAACGGATATGGTGTACCGGGAGGTGGTGCTTATCATGGTAGCACAAAGCTTTCAATGTTCAGCATCGAATCCAAGAAGGGTGATCACTGTTGCAAAACCTGGCCTCCTCCTACTTTGGAAAAATATCTTAATTGGGCTAATTACATGCTGTTATCCAACAGACAAATCTGGGCATGCTATTCTTGGAGTGAGCTCAGAGAATGGTGAAATGAGCAAAGAGTCGGAGTGCATGGTGGAAAGGAAAGAACTGCCTGAATACCTTAAGCGGAAGCTGAAAGCTCGGGGAATCCTCAAAGATGGTAGCACATCTGGTGGTCCTGCAATAAATGAAAATGCAAGTTCTTTCATGCGCTTTACTCTCCAAGATACCTTTCAGTACATTGATGTGCAGTCACAAGCTTCATCGAATCGTGAAATGTGTTTTGATAGTTCTTTTGTTTGTGTTTACTGAATTTCAGAAGTTGACAGATATTTGCTCAACTCATGTGACAACATCGGGAGAGTTGCCGCCCGGTTGGGTCAGTTTCTTCATTACCCTTCCTATTATGGACTTTCTTGTTGATGCTTGCATTTCTTATTCTAATCATTTGTTATTAGTGTGTAGATTTGCCGTGTCTTTCAAATATGTTGTTAAAGTGCAGTTGACTGTGAGTCTATTTATCAACTAATTGCTAGTTAATACATACCTTGTTGGTGTCTGTACACGACACCTGGCCCATGACTGAACTAAAACCTCAACCTATTCTCATGAGTCTAGTTCCCTGCAGACAAAAACAAAAAAGAGGCACCAAAATTGACTAACCTGTTGCCTTTGGTGGTTTCCTGGACGACATGATCAGCTTTGGACACCCAAGAGGAACAAATAAACAGGTTCTTAATCTCATTGAGATTTCCTTCAAGATGCTAAGATAGTAGTAAAGCATTAAGCATGAATGTTTAGTAAACAACGTCTAGGGCACCGTTTTCCACCTCCCAACATTGAGGTCAACCCTTACTCAGCCAACAAAGCACCTTGTTTGCCCAAAGGTCCTGCATAGCACCACCTTATATCCCCTCCCTAGTTGCTTATAAAAATGATTGGTTCCCAAGGTTTTCCTTTAGGCTCTGGTCAAATTGCTGCTTAAACTGTTAAATGTGTCTGCATATCTTTTTAATCTCTATTAAGAAGGTCTACTCTAGTGACTAAAAAGCTATCATAGTCGACCCACTTATTTGCCAGATATAGCACATGCATAAAACAGCAAAGCAGAAGAGGTGTCGGAGTGGGAGGAGGCTGAGTGGGTTCTGGGTTTGACACTAATTGCAGTTGAGAATTCTTTGGATGGAACTGACATTGATATGTGATGATAGACTGAAGTTGAGAATGCTCTGGTCTGCCCAGCGGTTAGGTGCAGTGCTGTTGTTATTGGTGGCACCCATCTTATGGAAGGATTGCGGAGCAGACTAATGGTCGCCAACATTACCAGTAAGCCCATGGTCTCGGCTTCATTAGTCAAGTAATCATGGCCACCAGTATTGGAGCTAGTGTTGTCGAGTGAAATACCAGGGGATGTGCAATTATTGGAGGAGTTGCTTCAATATGACAATGCTTCATGAGGAGGAGTTAACCAAGGCTGCATAGCAGTAGCTATGGATTGCTGCAAAGAAGAATTAGCTTGCTGATTGGAATTTTTTAGCAGTCGATTATCAAAATTGGATAGCCCAATGGGCATAACAAAATGGTGCGCATTAAAAACATGTCTAGAGATGTAGATATGTCGATTTTTTTGGATTAAAACATCAATACTATTTATAATCATCGGCATAGCCTACAGATCATCATGCTTCAGACCCTGTTGAAAATTTGTTACACAAGGTCTTGTCAACATAGACATTGCAAATGCAACCAGAAATTTTAAAAAAGGCATAACTTTGATGATGCCCATAGACAACATAATAAGGTAATAGTTCACCAAGCACCTTTAATTCGCCGAGATAAAGAGTTGTATTGAAATGCCTCACTCCAAAGATCGAAAGAGACCTCGCTCATATGCATATGCCGGTGCGATGGTTCTTACTCTCAGCTATCCTGTTTTGCTTTGGTGTGTTGTGTGGACAATGTTTTTATGATGTGTTCTATTATCTAAGAGGACTTGGTAAATACTATGGATGTAAAATGCACCCCCACCATCACTATGAAAATTAATAATCTTATGTAAGAAGGGACTTTCATAAAGAGATGGAAGAGAAGGGGTGAAATCAATAGGTTTCCAAGAAGTAGGTGGTGGAATTTAAAAAAAGAAGAGAAAATAGACTTATTTAGGGATAAATTAGTTAAATAAGGAAAATAGAACTCTAAACATGAGGTCAATGTTATGTGGAATGAGATGGCTGGCTGTATTAAGAAAGTGGCAAAAGAAGTTTTAAGAGAAACTAGAGTGAAAAGAAGTTCTAATAAGGAAATTTGGTGGTGGAGTGATGAGGTTTAGAAGGCTATTAGCAAAAAATGATTATGGTATCAAACTTGGCAATGTAATAGAAATGATCAAAACTTAGAAGGATATATAAATGCTGAGAAAATCGCCAAACAAATAGTAAGGTTAAACTTAAATCATATGATAATATATACTGTAAACTGGGAACAATAAAAAGTGAAAAAAATCTCTTTAAATTAGCAAACATTGAGAGAGAAAAAGTGTAGGGATCTACAACATATTAAATGTATTAAAAGTGAGGATCAAAGGGTCTTTGTGAAGGATGAAGAGGTCAACAAATGGTGGAGAGTTTATTTCAAAAAATTATTAAAAGGCAAACACAGTGGGAACACAACGGTAGAAGATACCATTGGCATAAATGAGGGCGGAGGTTATAAATACAGTCGTAGGATTAGAATATCGAAAGTGAAAGAAGTCTTAAAGAGGATGAAGATAGGAAAGGCCTTAGGACAGATGGTATCCCGATAGAGGATTGGAAGTGCATTGGGAGATTGGCATTGACCAACTAACCAAGCTATTCAACAAGGTGTTGAGAACAAAGAAAATATCAGATTAATGGAGGAAAAGCAATGTGGTACCTATTTACAAGAACAAAGGAGACATGCAGAATTGTGTGAACTATTGAGGGATCAAACTTATGAGCCACACTATGAAGCTGTGGGAGAGAGTGATTGAGCAATGACTAAGGCATGAAACGAGTGCTTCGAAAGCCAATTCAGTTTTTTTTTTTTTTTGAGTGCTAACAAATAAAGCCAATTTGGTTTTATGCTAGGTAGGTTAACAATTGAGGCAATTTCCTATTTAGGCAATTTATTGAGAAGTTTAGGGTGAAGGAAAAGACCTCCACATGGTATTTATTTATCTAGATAAAGTTTATGATAGAGTACCTCGAGATTTAATTTAGTGGGTGTTGGAAATGAAAGGAGTCTTCAAATACTATATTGACTTGGTGAAAGAAATATACGAGGGAGTGCTAACTAGTGTGCGGACAACTAGTGGAGTGACGAGTGAGTTTTTAGTGATAATATGTCTGCATCAAGAGTCAGCATTGAGCCCATACCACTTTGTCCTAGTTATGGGCGACTTAACTAGGCACCTACAAGATGAGATACCGTGATGTATGTTGTTTGCAAAAGACATAGTTTTGATCAATGAGACCCGAAGTGCCGTCAACACAAAGTTAGAACTTTGGAGGGATGCTTTAAAATCTAAAAGTCTTAAAATTAACTGGACTAAGACAGAGATATGGAATGCAAGTTTAGTAATAATAGGTGTTGAAACGAGGAAGTAGTTAATATTGATGGCCAAGAAATACCAAAAAGGGCGCACTTTTGATATCTTGGGTCAATAATATCGGAAAATGGAGAGATTGAGGATATCTTACATAAAATTAGAGATTGGTAGGCGACGTGGAGATGTGCAACTAGAGTTTTATGTGATCGCTGCATACCAATGAAGCTGAAAGGGAAGTTCTATAGGACAACTGTGAGACCAACTTTGCTTTATAGGGCGAAAAGTTAGGTAGTCAAGAAACAACATACCTATAGGATGAATGTAGCTGAGATGATGATGTTGAGATGGATGAGTGGTAAGACAAGAAGGGATAGAATTTGAAATGAATACATTAGCAAGACCTTAGGTGTGACTGCAATAGGCGATAAGACGAGAAAAAATAGACTTAGGTGGGCTGACCTTGTGTAGCGTAAAGCCAATACAACACCTATTAGGAGGTGTGAGTTGGTTCAAGTGGAAGGCTAAAAAAGGGCAAGGCGTTGGCCCAAAAGGACATGCTTGAAAGTAGTTAGAAAAAATATAGGGGCTTATGGCTTCATTGAGGGTATGGTCCTTGATAGAGCAGATGGCAGACCAGGATTCATATGGCCAACCTCAAATAGTTGGGAAAAGGCTATGATGATGATCTAAGAAGGGACTTTCAATGAAGGATTTAAATTGGCGAAAAAAAGCAAACACCTCAAATTTGTGTTTGAGAAAGAAAATCCAAATGTATCGACTATAATCATCGATAAAAATAACATTATATGTAGCATGAGAAACAAATTCTTTTGGGATGGCCCCCACACATCAAAATGTAACAACTCAAAAGGGTAAATAGCTCGTTTCTTGTGAGAAACAAATAGAAGTGCATGACATTTCATAAATGACAACTTGAATATACAAAATTATCAGACTTGGACTTAGAAAGTGTAGTAGTAATCCTTTTAAAGCAAGATTATCAATAAACCTGGAGTAACTGGAGTGACGATGCCTTGAATGCCGATGCCAGGCATCAACCTTTCCTTTATTTAACTTAGACAGACCAATTGTAAACATCAAAACTGAAGTGGACTTCAAGCCACTTGGAGTGGGTTTGTCTTCTTTCAGGTAGTTGAGGGTCAATATCATTCTCCCTCAGCGATTGTTTCCTTCGTGTTAAATTCTTCACATGCCTAGAAGTAGTGGAAACAAAGAGTTGGAATTATCAACGAACTGAAAAGTGGATACAAGATTATGCTTAATATGGGGAGCAAAAAGGGATTTGGGAGAGAGAGAATGCGGAGAAGATGGATTGGAAGCATGTCCTATGTGAGTGATGGGGTGAACATTTCTCTATCCAGTGACAACGGTTCCTCTACCATGATAGGAAAACTTACCCATATCTGACTGGCTGCCCTGAAGTCAAGAATCCATGATCCATTCTCTGGTTGACATCTAGGTCGGAGAATGCATGACTAAGGGCAGCATGCTAATTTGTGAATTGAGACACTGAATTTAGTGCTCCAGAGTGAGGCTTATTGAAGGTGTAATTGAACGTATGCCGACAATTAACTTCAATATGGTTTCATTTCCCACAAAGTTGATATATGGGTGGAGCCTTACCCGATTTGAGAACTGATTGCGGACTGTGGCATAGGAAGAAGTTCAACGATTATCATTGTAACCAGAATTATTGAAGTTGTTTTTTCCTCTTCCACAACCATGGCTAAACTGACCTCAACCATACCCGCGTCCAAAGGAGTTGGTGACAGTTAAGACATCATGTCCTT